CAGGTGTGGGGGCTTCTCATTTTCCCTTCAGGAAGCAGGGCCTGGGGTCAGCAAGCACAGTCAGACCCAAACAGAACATCCTCAAGAGGAGGAAAATCTTGGCACCAACCCTTGCAAAAAGGGACATCAGTGCAAGGACTCCAGGCTTGAATGGTGAAGAGAACAGGCTGAATGAGACTGCTGATTAATTGCTGATTAACTGCTGATTAATTGCTGATTAACTGAAATTATGAGAAAATCTTATGGGACTTGGGCTCTACATTAAAAAAAGAATCCTAAACCCAGCATTATCAAATGATTTGGCAAGGGGAGTGTTTCTCCCTCAGGTAGGAGGTGTCTGGCTCTCCAGGGGTCATGATAGAGGCTACAAACTGTCCTGCAAACTCTGCTCAACACTGTGCTTAGAAGGTAATTGCCAGCTGCAATTAGCAAGTTCTCTTAATCACCAGGACATCTCTGCTCCAGCAGGGCCTCGGGCAGCCCAGCAACACCAACCTGGAAAATGAGCCCAAAGGAGGCTCAGTTCTCACAGGGTCACAGAGTGGTGGGGTTGGGAAGGACCTCTGGAGATAATTCAGTCCAACCCCCTGCTAGAGCAGGGTCACCTGCAGTAGAACCCACAGGAACACACACAAGTGGGTTCTGAAAGTCTCCAGAGAAGGAGACTCCAAAAGAGACTCCACGACACCCCAGAACACACACAAGTGGGTTCTGAAAGTCTCCAGAGAAGGAGACTCCAAAAGAGACTCCACCACCTCCCTGGACAGCCTGTCCCAGGGCTCTCCTCAACAGAGTTCAAGATGTTCCACCAACCAGTAAATGAACTAACCCCTCTCCTGGGAGGAGGAGGCTTCCTGAACCTGACCTGCTGTCTCAAGGGTGAAACAAACCACTGTCAATTCAGAAGCTCATCTGGAAACAGATGGAGGTGGCCCAAGAATCACAGAATAGTCATGGTTGGAAAGGACATCTGAGATCACTGTGTCCAACCATGAAGAAAAAACAACCAAAAAACCCCCAAAAAACTCCACCCCAAAAAAACCCACAACCTACAACCTCAGCCACTAGAGCTTGCCCTGAAGTTCCTCATCTACACGTTTCTTGAATACATGCAAGGATGGTGACTCCACCACCTCCCTGGGCAGCTGTTCCATCCTGACCACTCTTTCAGTAAAGAAATCCTTTCTAGTATCCAATTTAACCCTCCCCTGCTGCAACTTCAGGCCACTTCCTCTGGTCCTGTCCTTATTCACATGGGAGAAGAGCCCAGCACTCAGAAGAACACTCAGGAGAGCAACACACCAGCCCAGCAATGGCTCGAGCTGCAGTGACCAACTGGCTGAGGCAGAAGGAACAACAATGGGCTCAGTGGGACAGTTTCTGTGCCAACTGCCCTGGTGGGCTCTGCTGACACCCCTTTGATGGGACAGTTTGGTGTCTGAAACAAGAGCATCATCATATTCCTGATGAGCCACCAAGACTGAGACAGAGCACGGGCACTGGAACGGGCTCGTGTCTACTGGAAATAACAGGGAGCCAGCAGATATGAAGAGTTATTCTGTTCCAAGGACAGGTGCCCTTGTGGCTCCTCAGACTGAGTCCTCTCCCACCATCTCACTCTCTTCAGGCATCTACAGAGAAATAAAAAAATATACCTGGTTTCTTGGTTACTCGTACTACTGTGCTGCTGGGATTTGGTAGAATCTGTAGAATTGGACTCAGAGTAGTTCACTGAGGAGGGGGAGGAGGAGGAGGAAGATGAAGATGATGAACTCAGTGTTGGGTATTTACTGTGACTCTGTTTGCTTTTTGTGGACATGACTCCATTGCTACAGGTTGGACTATCTGCTCCTGAAAGTCAAGAAGAAAGGGAAAATGAGACCAGACCAACAATACTGGGAAGTCAACAGTTTAGCAGGGCCCACAGGAGGGCAACAAACCAAGACTGAGGATCTTTGATGACTTCATTGTTCTTGAATTCCATGGGGTTTAGAGAAAACACAAATGAATATGGCAAGAAGCCCAGTGCTCACCAGCAACATCTGAGCTTAAGGAAGCTCTAAAAATGGGCTGTAAATACCAGATGGGCAGAACCAGCTCCCACTGATCAGTGCTGAAACATGAAGCACAGCTTGGGAAGAAGTTCTGAAACACTCTTCTCACAGACCCAAGGATTTTTCATAAATGCTCTGCCCAGGAAAACTCTGAGAGCAGAGGTGAAAACTGGGCCACCAGAACTCCCTGCAAGTAGAACTTCCCAGGCTTACAACCTGGCTTACATGAGGGATACACTTGGTTCACACACACACAACACTCACCAAATAACAATCCTCTTGAAAATCCCAAGCAGACCTTCCCTGTTCAGATTCTCCTCCTCACTGAGAGGAGAGTCAGGCCTGAAATCTCATCCTCTCCCCCAGGAGAGGTGCCCATTGAGCTGTGGGACCCACTGACATGGGACACAAACCTTTGGTCATTACCAGGGATGCAGAAATGACTGGCAGAACTAACAGGGACTATTTAATACCAAGGGAACTGCAAATCATTAAGGGCTAAGCCCTACACAGATCTCAGTTATGGGCTTGTCTTCCTCATATGAGGTCAATGGGTATTTTCATGCATGGTTGAAAACAGGGATTACCCAGAGCTTTCATGGACTGATGGAACCATTCTGAAAGTCCAGTCAGAGCAACATACCCAGGGTTTCTCACAACACAATAGAGGAAAAAAA